GCCACCACCAGGGTCAGGTCCAGGTGTCACCTGGGCCTCACACAGGTGGGAAGCCCATGAAACCCTTCCAGGCCTCTACCCCCTTGGGCCCCCGCTCCAGGGTGCCAGCTGGAGCGACAGTGGTCCACTACTGACCGATTTGAGCCTGGTGACCTTGGAGGCCAGGCTATCAGCCATCCGCCTGTTCTCCTGGTCTAGCATCTCCTCCACGGCACCGGAGCTCTGAGCTGCAGGAAGAGAGAGGCTGAGGGGGCACACCCACCGCGGGCTCTGGACCCCTGTGGCCTCCGGGCTTCACTACAGTCCTATCTGACCAGGTCTGACGTCCTGGGGGCCTGTGGCCGGCTGTGTGGGTTGAGCAGGTCCAGCCCTAACCCAGGGTCTGGTGCCTGGACCTCGCAGCGGGGGTAAGGCTGCATGAGCATCTGTCATGTGAGCACCTGTCCTACCTACACGCCCAGGCCGGAGTGGGGTGGGCAGGCACCCCCCAGTGTACAACCCCACAGGCTCAGTCACACGGGCACTGCCGGACACTCTGTCCGTGACAGATCTGCGCCCCCTCCGCGGACATCACCCTCCGAGTGCTTGGGGCCTATTCTGAGCCGCGCAGTAACCGCTGGGGCGGGCGTGGGAAAGGCAGGCGGGCTAGCGGGAGGGCCCTGCGGGGACCCCCTGTAAACTGAGTCCTGAAGTGACAAGTGACCAGGGAGGAAACCACTCAGCAACGCTCCCCAACAACAGAAGGGGGGCTGATGTCCAACCCGAGGGCAGGGCCTAGGTGCTTCCCTGAATGAGCTCAGTGCCTGCCGAGACCGGGGGCATCAGGTGCCAAGACCCAGACGCCCCACGTGACCCAGCTGCGGGGGCGCGGCCCGAGTCGCCCCTGTGTCCACACCACAGGGAGGAGGACGCGCGTCCTACTGGCCACTCAGGGTCACGAATCCCTACTGGCCAAGGCAGCTCAGCGACAACCCACTGCGCAGGTGCGAACAGTGCTCCCTGAGGAAATGGGGTGCCCGGACCCCATTTGCAACGAGACCGGCTGCGGCCCTCCCAGCACGCCGCCTCCGGGGCCCGGA